GCCGTGGTTCCCTGGGGAGAAATTGCAGCTTCCTGGTCAAGCTGCCCAAATGGCAATGCGTATGATGTCTGGCCTCCCATTTCCTATTATTAATAATTAGCTAATTACAATGGTAAAAAAGGAACTATTTACAGAGGTGTAAACTATTTACAGAGGTAAACAGCAGGGGTGGTGAAGCACTCACCCCAATAAACAACAGAGGTAAAGCAGTACCACATGTAATGCTCCCTGGTCAGAGGGAGGCAGCTGTGGCCACACTTAAGAGGGACACAAATCATGGCCTGGCAAGAAGGGAGCAGTGGAATAGAAATCATGACTTTCTTCTCCTCTTGTCTTCTAGTTATAGAACAGAAAGTTAGTTCACTTGGCACTAGTAGAGTCAAACACTAAACACAGAACTGCAGTGGAGAAATATTGGCTATTTTATTGTAAATGGCGCCATCCAGGAGAACGGGAAGCTAATGCTAAAAAGCCCGATTCCCCCATGGTATGCAGGTTAAAGATTATATAGGGCAAAATCACAAGACCCCAGGGGATTCGGGGTTGTGCTGGGAGCTGACTGGTCAGAGGTGAGGTAATGAATTATTTCTTTAGGTCTTGAAGACAGCTCTGAGGTCTTTGCCAGCAGCCCTCTGGTTTCATGGGAAAATAGGCAGGGGGTCATTCCAATTAAGGCTCAGAAACTGAAACACAACTTACGTCAAGACTAGGTCTCTGAAGGGGTGGGAGGGAGGAGAGAGGGAGAAAAGAGAGAGAGAGAGAGAGAGATGATTTCTAGAGCTATGAGTTAAAACTAAATTTAATCAAAGTCATAAGGACCCTTGGTTTCACTCTGTGCCCTATGCAGCCAGAAGGTAGTGGAGTCAGGGTGACACAGCTAGCTTGTTTTCCATTGTTTTTTCTACTCTTCAGTCCAATCAGCCCAACAAAGATGATAAATTCTCAGTGAATAGGAGGATCTGTCCCAGGTATCCTATATAATAAAAACCTAATATGCAAATTGTCCCCATGGACTAGGAGTTCTACTGGGAGTTCGACCAGGGGGTGGGGCCAGCTGGCTAACCGAGGGAAGGGAGGCCTGGGAGGCCTCAGAGGTCCCGGACGGCAGCCAGCAGCTGCTCAAGACCCTACCCGTGCACGAATTTCTTGCACTGAGCCTCTAGTGCAGTGGTTCTCAACCTTCCTAATGCCGCGACCCTTTAATACAGTTCCTCATGTTGTGGTGACCCCGATTTCATTGTTAAAAATTGAACATAATTAAAGCATAGTGAGTAATCACAAAAACAATATGTAATTATATATGTGTTTTCCGATGGTCTTAGGTTACCCCTGTGAAAGGGGCGTTCGACCCCCACAGGGGTCGCGACCCACAGGTTGAGAACCGCTGCTCTAGTGTTACATATAAAGATTTTTATTGTCTTAACATGTACTTCATAGCTACATAATTAAATATAGATATAATATAGCCCTTTAGTAAAGATAATATAAAAGAGATATCTTCCCAAAAAAGGAGATATCACCCTTGGATTACTTTCTTTACATCTCTTACAGTGTTATGCCCATAGTGCTCCCTGTAAGATACTTTTACAGAAGTCTTAACGGCTGCCATGTTAACAGATATCTGAAAAAAATCCAATGTTCTCTCCAGCTTCGGGCCCTAAGGCTTTGATCAAAAAGAAAAAAATTGATGCCATATTATATATGTTCTCATATACCCATTCTCTGTATATTGGGTGGGAATTTGTGAAGATACTCTGGATGAAAAGAAATACATGTTATAAAACAGTTGGACTGGCTTCTAGGAGAATAACCTTGCTAAAATAAATTTCAAGGTTTCTGTTGGGCTTTTGTGCTTCCACACAAGTTAATGTTTAGCTGAGCACCTGGACATGTTCAGGTAGAAAGCAAACAGGGTTGCTCAGAGTTGTACACAGAGGTTGAGGGAGTTGAATATTACTATGCATCATGGTGTGAGAAGCATTTGGAGCTCAGGGAGAGGTCTGGAAGGAAGAAAAGAAGAAAAGAGGAAGGCAACATGAAGGAAGGCTGGAACAGAGTTGCGGAAATGGCTGAGGGACAAATTTAAGGATGTCTAATATTCAATTTCACATTGTTTCCTCCCAAACCTTTGGTAAAGTTGGCTTCAGGCCAAACGTGTGAGTGGTTCTGACAAGGAAATCCTAACAAGGAAATAATTTTAAAAACACACAGCATCCTGTCTGGTGTGACTCAGTAGGTTGAGCATCGTCCCATGTACCAAGAGGTGGCCAGTGCGATTCCCAGTCAGGGCACATGGCCAGGTTACGGGCTCGATCCCCAGTAGGAAGCATAAAGGAGGCAGCCAATCCATGTTTCTCTCTCTCCATCTCCCTTCCTCTCTCTAAAAATCAATAAAAATATATTTTTAAAAAAACAGAGCAATAATGATAAAAAACAGATGCCCTTTAGCGAGCAGCGCTAGAATGTCCTGGGCATTGTGCTACACCATCTAGGTCACAGACACTCTGACTCAGGTAGTATCCTCCCTCTTTATTTTTTATTTATGTTGTTAACCCTCATCCAAAAATATTTTTTTCCCATTGATTTTTAGAGAGAGTGGAAGGGGGAGGGAGGATGGGAGAAGGAGAGAGAGAGAGAGAGATTGGTTGACTCCTGCAGGCCTCTGCAGGCATCCCATCTGGGGCCAGGGATAGAATCTGTGACCCTTTGGTGCGCAGGCTGATGCTCTAACCACCGGGAACACCGGCCAGGGCTATTCTGCCTTTTTAGGTAAGGAGACTGAGGCTCAAAGAGGCTAAGGAACACATTCAAGGTCACACAGCCATTACATGGCAGGGCCAGGACCTAAAATCAGAACCCAAGTTCTTTTCATTGTACTATATTGCTTCCCCATAATCCTCTCTGCACTGTCCTTATAAAACTGTTGTCTAGAGGCTAATGGTCATTGACAAGAACCCCGTCTTTCTCTAAAGCTGCCCATTCCACAGTCCATTGATTGTGACCATTGAACGTTTTTTCTTGTGAGTCAGATCTCTTTCTAAGTTTCCACCCACAAGTTCTCTATCTGCTGTCTGAACCACTAAGAATGAATTTAATCATTCTTTCACAGAGCAGGCTCTCTAATATTGGAAGATATGGTATAAAATTGTACCAGGTTGGTCCCTATCGTATATGTTTGTAAGAGCAGGAATATCTGAAAGGGAGCCTATCTGAATTGCATGCGGCTTTATTCCCAACTATGTAGATAGAACATTACTTAGTAATTACTTAGCACATTAGTAGGCATTCAACAAATATTCATAGAATGGATGAAAGCCGGCCAGAGGGGGGAGGTACAGAATATGGTTAGTGAGGCAGCAAACATATAAACGAGATAATTCCTCCTACCTCATTACTTTCTCTACATATCATAGTCTTATGTTCATACTGCTTCCTCTAAGGTATTTTTATCAAAGTCTTAACTACCATGTTAACAGAAATCTGAAAAAGAAAAAATTGCTAGAGGCAACACTCTCAGAGAATATGTTCAGTTCTGCTTCCACCCCATCCCCTCAACTATCTACCCTTGTTTCCAAGTGGTCAATATTCTTCAAGCTAAACTTGTGGGTCTAATACACCCTAAAAAGAGACTTTCATCTCATTCTTTAGACGTAGTTTCTACAACTGAAGATCTGACCACCATAGAGGAGTGAATTGCTATTCTATACCATAAACATAGACTATATATCTGTCTCGGCAGCCATTCCAGAACAACTGCTTTGTCTTACTCCTTGAGCCTTTGGAATGTTTGAACTGGGCAAAATAACCTTTACAGTGGGCCAGAGCAGCTCTGTTCTCCAAACAACTGTTTGTAAAGCTAACAGGAAAACAGGCTTCCGACGACAAGGACCGATAATTGAAGCCATTCTTTATAATCAGTAAAGAGCCATGCATATCTGAAAAATGACTTCGTTTTATTAGTACCAGTAGAAATTCCTTTTACCCATGTATTTCCCCTTTTTTTCTCATAAGCCCTCTGCCTTCACTCCACAATCAGAACGCTGTTCGGGTGTCTGCTGGAATCAGTGCTTTTGGAATATTTATTTTTGTGTGTGTGATTTCAAATGCTTGTTGCCTCTCATTTGAATTTTTATTTTCAAGTTAAAAAATATATATGTATATATAAATTGATACATCTCACACCCATGGAGAAGTAATTTTGTTGCATCTGAGACATACCATAAAGCACTGGGGGTGGGTAAATGGGGAAGCAGCAGTGGAGAGAAGGGACAGCAGTGCTTTTCACTGTATCCTTTGCAGCTCTGTCCATGAGACTAAACCAACCTTAGAAGCTGTCCAGTCTTAAATTCACTATTTAGAAATCTGGAAAAGGTGGCGACCCTCCGATGACAGGTACAGAGACGGGCAGTTGAGCGCAGGGGCCCTTTGCATGCACTGCCGACTGTGCCGGGAGTGCACAGGCTCCAGGTGGCCTGCCAGTGACGTTCTCCGGGGCTGCTGTCACTGCTGCGTTGAGGGCCACACTCCCAGGGCTCACCGTTCGTCTGCATGTGCCCCTGCTCGGCCGGCGCGGCTCCTGACGCTCTCTGGGTCTGTTTCTCCTCCGGTAAAGGTGGGGCTGGCATCGCAGGGGAGGCTTTCTGGACCCCACTCCCAGCAGGACCCCGCGCAGGCCCGTCCCCGAGCCTCCGGGCAGAGGCAGAGGCAGAGGCAGCAGGAAGGTGGGCTCTGTCCCCAAAGGGCGCGGGAAGGGGGCGCACCACGCCGCCGGGACGACTCAGCGCCCCCGCCTCGCCGGCTTTCCCGGAGGCGCTGGGACCGGCCCGCAGCCGAGGAGGCGCCCAGCGGCCTCCCGCCGCCGGCCCCGCGCCCGCCGGTGCCGCCCCGCGCGCTCCCCGCCTCCCTCCCTCCCCCGGACCCGGCCCAGCGGCGCGGGGGGCGGCGGCCGCGGCGTGACAGTTGCTGACAGAGCCCCGCCCCCGCGGCTCGCCACGTCCCGCACGTCCCGCCGCCCCGAGCGGAGCGGCCGCCTGGCGCGCGGGCTCGGCTCCCCTGCGGGCTCGGCATGCGGCTGGCGCGGCTGCTGCGCGGAGCCGCCTCGGCCGGCCCGGGCCCGCGCGCCCGCCGCAGCCTCGCCTCGGACTCGGCCTCCGCGTCCGGCCCGGCGCCCGAGCGCGGCGTCCCGGGCCAAGTGGACTTCTACGCGCGCTTCTCGCCGTCCCCGCTCTCCATGAAGCAGTTCCTGGACTTCGGTGAGTGCGGCTCGGCCTCGGGCCTTTGTGCGCGGCCCCGGCCGCCTCGGAAACCCCGGCTCCTGCACCCCCGGTTCCCCCCCCCTCCCCCGACCCCGCCCCAGCGCCTTCGGGGCTTCCTTCCTCCCTCGGGGCGGGTCCTGACGCTCAGGTGCTGGGCCCGCAGGTCGGATCCAGAACCGGGGCGTGTGCCTTGTTATGGTGATTGTTGAAAACCCGAAGGGCCCGGCCGTACGGCCGCCCGGCCGGCAGCGCACGTGTGCAGGTCCGCGCCGGCGGCCAGGCCCCTGCCCGAGCCGGGCTTCTGGGAGAGGACACCCCCGGGGGTCGTGGCGCACAGTGCAGAGTGAGGATACATGCCCAGTTTTGTATGATGACTGCATAAAACTGGCCTGACGGTAGGGGAAGCAGGTTATAACTGGCCCCGTGTCTCATGGAATGTTTTCCTTGTCACTGGCTTGCGTGTTTCCACCAATAGCCTGTTCATGTCATCAGCAGCAAGTAAGTCCTGAGCACGTGTGAAGTGCACGAGTGCAAGATGCACAGTTCACCCCCTGGAAGCGACTGCCGCCTTCCTCTTTCTCTGCTGGGTGCTGGGTGGTTTTTTGTTTGTTTGTTTTATTTGTTTTCTAGAAAGGATACAACAGATTACAGAAGAATTGCAAAGTTAGGCTCTTTGACTTCTCATTATGGGGATGTTGAGGGGAAAAGGGAAAAAACTCTGATACACGCTAATGAAGTCCTAAAATTTAAGTAAAACAGTTATCTCCTGCATTGTGAGTGCTGTTAGGCCGTGAACGGATCACTAGTGGGCTTGAAAGATACCAGCATGGCCGGCAACTTTATCTCAAAGTTGTGGTTTACAGGGGCAACTTTTGGGGGCTCACGTCCTCGGATTTTGTTTTTATATTAAAATGTCCCTAGTGTGTTTAAGGGGTCAAGTTGGCCTTGTTTACAAGTATACCTTTCAACTTTCACAAGAAAACGTTTTCTTTTAATACCATTGTTCCTGCTGTTGACAATCTAATTTCTGCTAAGGTCGTCTCTTGCGGAGATAGCAAGATTAAATTAGTGACTTTCAAATGCATTGCTGACGTGATCTAACTCTTCAGTTTCATTTAAAATGGAACTGCTTGCCAGGGGACGTTCTACAGTGGGCCTGCTTAGTTCCCTGGTAGAGGAGTGGAGGAATGAGCAGGCTGCTTTCCTGGCATTAGACAATTGAATAGGACCTGCTGGGGGAGACACTGGAAGGTGGTTGCTGAACAGGCATTGGTATGTTTTTGCTCTTTGTTGCCTGAAAGCAATTCTCTACATCTACCCTTTGGTTATAGTAATTAGTATAGTGGTTCCCATGCACATGACAGAATTTTTCTAATTAGTATAGTGGTTCCTGTGCGTCTGACAAGATTTTCTGTTCCTTAGACAGGTATTCACTTCTCATAAACCAAGACTTAGGAAGCATGCTGTAAATGATGGCGGCAGCAGTTTATATAGGGGAGGCTTTGCAGGTCCTGTTAATTAGACTCCTCACCTTGCTCGGACTTGCTCAGGTTGCATTCGTTCTAAGACAGGAAATTACAGTAAGGATGCAAATAATGGAGACAGGAAAGTTTCTTCCTTGCTCTACATAGCAATTGGAATGTCAGGAATTGGAAGGTTTATTCCGGATGCCCTAGAGACGGGCTATCTCATCCCTCGCCCGCCTTTCCTTACCCTGTCATTATGGTGATGCTACCCCTCCGATGTTTCTGGCCGAATAACTCCCTCTGTGTTTCTCCCTGCCTCTTGGCTTCTGCTGCCTTATGGCTTCCACTTACTGCTGTTCCCACCGTGTCTGGTTTCAGGATCTGTGAATGCTTGTGAAAAGACCTCATTTATGTTCCTGCGGCAAGAGTTGCCTGTTAGATTGGCAAATATAATGAAAGAAATAAGTCTTCTCCCAGATAATCTTCTCAGGACGCCATCAGTTCAGCTGGTACAAAGCTGGTAAGAGTCCCGTGTTTGCAATTTCAGTGGGGTTGTGGACTAAACTCAAGTTAAAGCAAATAAATCCTTTTTTTTTTCACTCTTTAGTAGAATCTTAAGGTTGCTCTTTAGTAGAGTCCTGGTGCTACCACTCCTTGGTTTTGAGAAAAACAATCAGAACTGCACAGAAATGCAGACACTAAGCTTAAGATTTATGTTATTCAGTCTGCAGGGATGTGATAATAATATATGCCATTTGTTGAAGTGAGGAATTTATATACAGCACCTTTAATCCTTTCCACACCCTGCCGAGTAGTCATTATTATCTCCATTTTACAGGTGACGAAACAGGTTCCAACAGATGAAGTTTTTTTTTTGCCTAGTACTGGAACTGGGATTCAAACCTGGATTTCTTTGTTTCTACTATACTATGCTGCAGCCAGAAAAATGAAATGTATTAAAAAGTGCATATATTATTATAAACTGAATTTATTTTATTGAAGTATATAAGTCACACAAGTTAAAATCTTTTTTATTTAAAAAACAATTAGAAGTTATCTCTCTTCCAAAAAATGACAAAAGAGTTATGAAGGGTGTACACCATATGTGGCCACCTACATACGTCCTTCCTTGTTAATGTTATTAACTTAATAGTTCTCTTAATCACTAAACGTTTCAAACAAAAGAGTCTGTCAGAGTTCAGTTTAATTGGAAAAAAAATTTAGCTGCAAGACATTTCCCGATAATGATTCATGGAGATCCTTGCTTTCCTTTTGTAGGCAGTACAGTTTGTGCAAGAAGCTGATCTAACATCAATTTTAAATAATAAGTGAAAGAGAAGATACTTTTCTCTGGAAGCTTATTCCTGTGTGTGTTTTTTTAATTCTTCATTAAAAAATAGCATATGTTGCAATTTAAAATCTGATCTGTGCCTAACATGTTGTGAGTATTCAGATCTCTCGTGAATAAAAGAGCACAGTTTTTCTTGACAATGAAGAGAAAATTAATAGTTAACGGAAACCTGCCGGTATCAGAGTCACTTAACTCTGGAATGTAGAGAGGCAAGTTGTTTGTCAACAACAGCTTTCCAAACCAACGTATGGATTTGCAGATTTTATAAACCCTTTAATTCCCTCCTCCCCACTCCTCTCCCCACATCTGCTGAGTTAGGGCAGTTAAACAGACCTTATACTCATGAAGGTCATTGAACGATAGCGGGCTGTTTTAGCTCTGGCCCTGCACTGCCTTTGTGCTTGGTGGTATGACCTTGAGAAAGTCATTTGGACTTCCTTTATTTGGCTCCTTCCTTAACAAGTAATTTACTACCTTGAGATGTTAGATAAATTAAAACCTACATTCTCATGACTTTTGTTTTTGTTCAGTTCTGTTTAAAAGAACTAGGTGGTATAAATTGTAGGCTTTTAACAAATATTTGTTGATTGGACATGAACATCTAAAATTAAGGTTTAAAACACAGACCTTTAAGTTAGACTCTTAGGCCAAGATAGACTGGGCTCTGCATTTTACTGAGGCTAAGACAAGGCATTTGCCCATGATCACATAGGTATTGGTTATAAACACAGTTCTCATGACAATCATCATTTATACTGTAATTTACAGTGGTAAGTTTAGGAAGTTTAAAAGCTATTTTAGCTCGGCTGGTGTGGCTCAGTGGTTGTGTCAACCCATGAACCAAGAATCACTAGTTCGATTCCTAGTTTGATTCCATGTTGGGTTTGCAGGCTCGATCCCCAGTAGGGGGCATGTAGGAGGCAGCTGATTGATGTTCCTCTCTCATTGCTGTTTCTATCTCTCTATCCCTCTCCGTCTCTCTCTGAAAAAATGAATAAAAAAATTAAAGAAGCTCTTTATTAAAGATAGCTATTTTAGAGTATAGAAGTTTAAAAAAATAGAAGAGGTAGGAAATCTTAGTTCTTCAGTCAAATTTAACTTATGCTTTTAGGAGAAAATGTGCACATCCTGCTAGTTTGTGCCAGGAACTTTGCTCAAATGTGATTATGTATAAAAATCTCACTTCAACCATAATTTAGAGCACTATACTAAATTAAAAAATAAGAAATGTTAAAAATCCCTTTTGAGCATTTTCACAATATTGAACTTTCAAAGTGTGAAAGAACAAGTTTACCCTGTTGATTTGTATTTTAGGTATATCCAGAGTCTTCAGGAACTTCTTGATTTTAAGGACAAAAGTGCTGAAGATGCTAAAGCTATTTATGAGTAAGTATACTATCTTGACCTAATTCTGAACATAATTTTTGTACCCTTTAAACATCATATAAAAATATAAATTGATTAACTTTTAGTTTCCCACTGTAGTGGAACATGTGGCAGTATATTTATCTAAAGCAGCCCATATGGGCAAGGCAGGTAACATAAAGCAGGAGATTGTACTGGGAATAAGAAATGCTTCATGCTCCTCTGATCTCTAGTGTAAGAAAAAACACAGCTCAAGTGTGGTGGTCAACAGATATCTAGATGTGGCCTCAGTGCCGCCTGATGGAAGGTGAGGACTTTTCACCTGGAGAGCGCATGCATCTAAAGGACAGCCACCCTCAGCTCCAGCCCATCATTGCCATACCAAAACGCCACCCAGATCATTTAAGGTTTTTGTGTGTTTAAAGAAAAGTCACAAGTCTAGATTTTTTTGTTACTCTTCCCCAGATGATATTTTTTCCATTGATTCTTAGAGAGAGTGGTGGAAGAGAGGGATGGGAGAGAGAGAGAGAGAGAGAGATGACAGATGACAGATGACAGATGACAGATGAGAGATGAGAGATGAGAGATGAGAGACACTTTTTTTGGTGGCCTCCCGCATACTCCGGACTGGGCTGGGGATCAAACCTGCAACTCAGGTATGTGTCTTTGCCTGGTAATCGAACCAGCAACACTTCGGGGCATGGGCCAGTGCTCTAACTACAGAGCCACACCAGGCACACATCTAGATTTTTAATGTAAAATCTCCCAATTTTGAATGATAGACAACTAGTTAAAAAATTTTAAAAATACTGAAGGCCTTCAAAAAATGTCTGTGGGTCTCTGGTTTATGACCTGTTGTCTGTAAGATAATGTAAGTAATATGACCAACATATCAGAACGGGCAAACCCAAGTAGTCCCCTCAGGCAGTTACCTGCTTATTCCAATGGCTGTTGGTCAAAAGTTGGAGACCACCTCTTTTGTTGTCCTCAGTCTTTAATACATTTCTTTGACTGTCTGTAAAGGTGATGGCAACACTTCATTTTTAAAGCTTCAGTTTTATGATTTTGGTCTGAAAATAACATCAGGATGTACTCTGTGCCTACTTATGGAGCACATTTTGCATGAATGATATTTAATCTTTAAAGCAAGTTAGTTGAGATACTACTTTCTGTGCAAAGAGATTAATTTAAGGTAGCATAAAGGTCAAATAGCTAGCAAATGGTGGGGCCCAGATTTGGACACAGGTAGTCTTAAAAGTAAACATTATGTTACTTTTATGTTACATGGATTATGTTATTGAACCTTCTGGAAACAGTCATTCAGATGAGTTAAGCGGAATAATACTGTTTTGTATTTTTAAAAAGGAGAGAAAGGTGATGCCCTAGTCAGTTGCTCAGTGGTTAGAGCATCAGCCCATGGACTGAAGGGTCTCTGGTTTGATTCCTGGCCAAAGGCACAAACCTCCGTTGAAGGTTCAATCCCCAGCCCCAGTCTGGGCATGAGCAGGAGGCAACCAATCACTGTGTTTCTCTCACATCAATGTTTCTCTCTCTCTCTCCCTCCCCATCCTCTCTCTCCTTTCTACTCTCTCTAAAAAAATCAATGGAGAATGTATCCTTAGGTGAGGATTAAAAAAAATAAAATAAAGAGGGAAGGGTGAAATAAACTAATAAAGGGGTGACTAGAAGTGATGAGATGTTTGCTTTTTTTGAGGAGTTTTCTTGTTTGTATTTTGGATTAACAGTTTGGTTTTGAAGCTAATTACAAACTAGGAATTTCAAAAGTGTTTTGAGTTGTGAGAGCATCATTGGAATCAGTTAATAGTACTCAAGATGATGACTTTGAATGGGAAAGCACTCATTCGAAAGTGTAAATTCTGATGGGTATGTTACAAAATGGATTTTATTACTTCCTAATTAAGACTCCTTTTCTCTTTTATTTAGTTCTTTAAATTATCCATGCAAGAATGTCTTCTAAACGACAGAAATGGGAAGGCCAGATGATTTGAAAATTTTTCTTTTCACATAACAGTTGACTTTTCCTCTCCCATTTTTAAACTTATAGGATGAGTGAAATTAGAATTCTTTCCTACTTTTCTGTTCTAAGTGGTTCTTTCTCTCTTTGAGCCCCAGGGACTAGTTCCAAAGCAGACAGGCTTTATTGGCTCATTCATCTTCATTCCTTACAGAGCATGTGTTCCCTAGAAGCAAGTGCTCTGTCTTCTCTTAGACTGAATGTCCCTGCATACTGTCCTCATAGCGAGTGCTCAGATGACCCCAGTTGACAATGGTTAAAGGAAAACCATAGTATTTTAGGATTATGTTTTGTTGCAGCCTTACTTTTAAGACTTTCAAGAAATTTCAAACGTTTTATTTTGGAGGTTCTTACACTGTCACAGACTCAGTATATTTAATGATCTGAAATATATTTACAGAAGTGTAGGACAACATGCACTGAGGCTTCTTTTGCTGAATTAGGGATTGCTTGCCTAGTGTAGTTGGTTAAACTTAGACTTTAGTATTAAATTCACTTGTCAAAATACTTGGCTGTATTGAGAGACAGGTTTGTTTAGCTTTACAGATACCGTGATACGGATCAGGAACCGACACAATGACGTGATTCCCACCATGGCTCAGGGTGTGATTGAATACAAGGAGAGCTTCGGGGTGGATCCCGTCACCAGCCAGAATGTTCAGTACTTTTTGGATCGCTTCTTCATGAGTCGAATTTCAATTAGAATGTTACTCAATCAGCACTGTAAGTGTCTGGAAGTCAAGAAAAGAAGCTAAATAAAGTATATTGGTATATTTTAAATTATTTAGAACACTTCCCTTTAAGGAAAATGTTTAATTTTACTTTTTTATGTATTAAGAAAAGTAAATAGACTGCTATACAAAGGAGGTGTTTTTATTGAATGTAAAAATACTGTGTTTATGTTTAAGAAAAATGTTTGTTCTATTGTTCAAGTACCACTTAGAGAAACAGTTTTCAAATCTGGAAATGGGCTTTGATATTTTAGTTTGTTTTATTTGTCTCTGATGTTTCATTTCTTAACAGCCTTATTGTTTGGTGGGAAAGACAAGGGAAGCCCATCTCACCGGAAACACATTGGAAGCATAAACCCAAACTGCAATGTAGTTGAAGTTATTCAAGGTAAATACTTACATTTCTCCTTTCAGAAAGGATGTAGGAATCAAAATTGTTGAGTGCTAGTTCTCGCTATTAAAACAGCTACTTATATCCTGAGTAAAAATGTTAGGAGTGAATATATGGGTTTATAATGTTAATTGTGCTTTATGTACAGGATATTTGCTTATCCAATGCTCTGTTAGGTAAAGTATGGTGATACTATGTGGGTATCTGTTTCACTTCAAAAATGTTAAGCCTCTTTCCCCTTTCTAATTCCCTATCTAGGAGCCATAATTTATAATTGGTTTGCATCTTTCCACACTTTTTTCTGTTTATACCACATACTAGAGGCCACTTGGCCTGGCCTGTGCCCTCTGGCAATCCGGGACCCCTTGGGGGATGTTGGATAGCTGGTTTCAGCCTGATCCCCACTGGCCGATTCAGATAGGAGGGAGCCCGATCCTGTGCGTTGAGCGACTGTCCCCTGGTGGTCAGTGTGCATCATAGCGACTGGTCGACCCATCGTTCGGTTGTTCAGTCTCTTAGGCTTTTATATAGATGTGGGTTTTGCTTCTTGTTTTTTTGGTATAGTATCTGTCATTTCTCCTTTATGGCTATTAGGCTTTGTCATGTCATATTTAAAAACTAAGATTTTTAAAGTATATTTTCTTCTATAAAAAGTTTGAAAATTTCATTTGTCAGTCCTATTGCCACCTTAATGCATGAAACAGATGTAAATTTATTTAATGCTTTTTTGTTGTTGTTTTGATTCACACTAGATGGCTATGAAAGTGCTAGGCGTCTTTGTGATCTGTATTATATTAACTCTCCTGAACTAGAGCTTGAAGAACTAAATGGTAAGCCTGATGCTGTCTATTCCTCAGTGATCACTGTTTTGATGACTTGAGAAGGAATGATAAGGATAATTTAGATTTGTTTTAATATAAAAGGACTTTTCATCAACTTCTTCATATGAAAGCTGAGTGAGAGCAATCATGTTAAAACATATTTATGTGTGTGTGTGTGTGTGTGTGTGTGTGTGTGTATTTAATATAGTTGGGTTCTTTCTGAAAGACATTTTGGTCTTCCCCATTAAAAATTTTTTTTAATTGATAATGTTGATTCTTTACTTATTTTTGGTTTTCTGGTGAGAAAAAAATGGTGCCAAGAAAATTCCATTTGACTTTTATATGCACTTCAATAATGCAAGGTTTACCCTAGAGCCGTGGTCGGCAAACTGCAGCTCGAGAGCCACATGCAGCTCTTTGGCCCCTTGAGTGCGGCTCTTCCTAAGCCTTAGGAGTACCCTAATTAAGTTAATAACAGTGTACCTACCTATATAGTTTAAGTTTAAAAAATTTGGCTCTCAAAAGAAATTTCAATCATTGTACTGTTGATATTTGGCTTTGTTGACTAATGAGTTTGCCAACCACTGCCCTAGAGTATTTCTACTTCCTGAGTTGTAAATCACTATTTACTGTTGAGGAAGTAGAAAGACTAGAGGTGTAAAGAAGAAATAAAGATGCTCATTTATTTGAGAATCTGTTTATCTCTAATGGTCTTTTCTTCACCCTGACAGTGCCTTTTGGAAAAAAAAAAAAGGTGTAGGTGCCTTGGGAGGAGATTTCTGAGTCTTACTGTTTTCCTAGAGGTAGGGTAGTTTAAAAGGGGGAAAACATTTCCTAAGTTAACATGACCCTTTGAGAAGAATAAAATTAAACAGTTTTTACTAAGTTGTATTCTGGACAGCAGTGGACGTTACCCAATTGAAAATAGAATTGTTTGGTGTTTTTCTAAAACCATATTCATGCTTTTGGTCCATAATGGTACATCCAGTAAATAAGAACCACAATGCAACAGTGATAGTTTGGGAACCTGAACTACTCTGGACAGTTTCCAGGTGTCCCACCCACGTTTCCAATGGGTATTTTATTCAGAGGGAATCCAGTGTGTTGGCTACTTTAGAATCCTAGGGCGTGGTGAGCCTTATTCCTTTGCTCAGCCCAAGGTTCTGTTTTACACACTATCTGCCCACCAGGCCCACCTGGGCACCTATTAAATGGTTGAATGGAAAATCAGCATCCCTGGATCAATTGATGCTAGCTTAATTTTTTGTCTTCAGATTTATATCCATGGAAATGCCTGAAATAAAATAGGAAACATTCCACCTGGGTGAAACATTTTTAAAAATGGCTTAAAAAAAGAATGTATTTATGTAAGTTGGGCCATGGAATTTATAGACTGTAACACCTTTTTTTTGGAGAGTAAAATTTGGACCTTAAGGTTGAGTGTCCTTTAAAAAGATTGGCCGTCATAGAGAAGAATAGGAAGAAGGGTTGGTTATTATGCAGGACTCATGTTGTCACTGTCAGGTATTACTCTAAGTGAGCATGGGGTTCAAACAGTAATACAGTGAAGAACTGGTGTGGCACTTCTCCCCCAAGTGATGCTATCCTCCGTAGTAAATGTTTTCTTTTCATTACTACACAATATATTCTTTAAAATGCTTTAAGCACATCTTTCTGTACTTTTATATTTTTCTCTTCTGCTCTGTAGCAAAATCACCAGGACAGCCAATACAAGTGGTTTATGTACCATCCCATCTCTATCACATGGTGTTTGAACTTTTCAAGGTTTGTAAAATAGTATTACATAACCTATATCAGTCCTTTCCTGAGGTTAGGAATCTGCTCTGAAAGTTAAATACCCTACCGGGTTTTCTTCAGTTTAATTAAAAGATGTCATTTCATGTTCAGTGTCATGTCACATTCCTGGAGATCAGCCTTTGACAGCATTGATGGGCACCTCAATGTGGTGCTAAGCTCAACCTGGGGAGGCAGAAAGACCTGGGTTTCAATTCCATTTCTGCCACTTAATTATGTGTGTGACCTCAGCCAACTCGCTCAACCTTTCTGAGCCCCTGTTTCCTCTTCTGGAAAACAAGGGTATTACTATCCAGGTTAATATGAAGATTGGAGACAACATACTAAATATCCAATACAATGTCAGCACAGTGTAGGTGCTCCTAAAGGTTCTATTTTTAAAAAAACAAATACTTAGAAGAATGATTCTTAACTTTCCACCCGTAAAGGACCAGAGTCCTACTGCTGTATGCTTTTCTTTTTTTTTTTTTTTTTTTGAGAAAGTCATTTATATTGATGTACAGGGCTTCTGCGGTTATATTTGCTCTTTACAACAAATTTTGAAAACTAATAAAATTATGCTAGTAATGTTGAGAATACATTTTCCCCCAATTAACACTTGCTGGTGGGCAGGAAAGTGGGTGATGAGAAGTGGTACGGGCCCCGGAGGCTGACAATGGCACCCTAAGTCAAGCCTGTAGTCTCTCTTACTTTAGTTACCTTATCTTCAGCCAACAGCAAATTAGAAGAGGGAAGATGTGGCTTTCAGCCTGATAAGGAAAATATACTGAAACAGAAAAACTGATGGAATAATAATAATGTCTTAGAACAGCAAGGGTTCAAGAGTGCTCTTTTGTTCTAAGACAGCAAGAAAATATCTAAAATATCTAATCCTTCCAAAAATCTTTCAAAGTGATTAAATAAATGATTGGCACTTAAAGGATTAAAACTAATTTTTCCCTTGAAGTTTCAGAACATAAAGATCTTGTTCCCATGATGCTTAATAAAAGAAGTACTACCATATTATATAAGCGATTTTATATAATGTCAGTAGTAATAGCTTCCATATGGAACCTGATCTTAAATGGCCTTCAGTAGAGATGATAGAATTTGCTCCTTAGGGAGATGCAATACTGATTGGTGTGCCTGGTCACACTTATTTCCAAAGTCAGTCCTGTCTTTTGCCTTTTTTGCTTTATCGAGTCTTACCAATTTCTACTCCAGTGCTACATGCCATGTTTCCATTTAGTGCTTATGACATGTTGGCAGTTTGTACGCTGTATCCTTTAAAAATTGTTCCAAGCAGTTTTACATGTGAATGTCCTTAGCTTCAAACTAATGGTAAATTGGATTAGTTTATATCATTATAAGACCATTGCTGTAAATAGTATATGAAAAATTTTTTTTCTTAAAGCAATTTGTGATAAAATGTTTCTTATAAAAAGAAATGAAAGTTTTCAAAAAATAAGATGTGGCTGTTACCTATTAAATCGTAAGAACGTTTGGGTAAATTTTCCTGCTTTAATGTAAACTAGTTTAAAGTGTTACAACATCTGGTTTTGCAAAAATCTGTAGAATTTAGTTGAAATCTTTAAATCAAAATGCCTCCCAACTCCAAAACTGACTTCATAATTTTTTTAAAGTAATTCTTTAAATATGATTATAAGAATAATGATTCATTGGCATATTTCCATCGAATTAAAACTTTTAAAATTTCAAGTAGCTTATATTAGTTGAAAATTATAATTACTTTTTCTGTTTTTTAAAAGTTGTATTTTAAATATAAACCTAATGTATTTCAGAATGCAATGAGAGCAACCATGGAATACCATGCTGACAAAGGTGTTTATCCACCTGTTCAAGTCCACGTCACACTGGGTAGTGAGGATTTGACTGTGAAGGTAAATGCTTTTTCTTTTATTTTTTTAAGTTGATATACAGGCATGCACATAATTTCTAGAAAGCATAATTTATTATTAGGAGAAATAAATCCTATCCCTTATACCTAATAAGCACATTGCTTCATTTTTCTGAGAGATTATGGAATTATCCCTTGAATCTATTTCTGTTCTGGTCCCTAATTCAGATGATTCAAGATAAAGTAAATCCTGGAGACAGACAGCTTAGCAGTGATCATGAATATCCACTTTGATAAATCTAAAATATTTGGGTATTTGCAGTGTTATGCAGATAGTAAATTTTTCATTTAAAAACTATGTTTTTATTAATTTCAGAGAGAGGAAGGAAAAGGGAGAGAGAAGTCTTCTCCCTTTTTTGGGGGTCAGTCTGGCTAAAAGTTGTAAATTTTGTTAATCTTTTTCAAAAAACCAATTTTTTATTTTGTTGATTTTTCTTCACTGTTTTCAACTCTATATTTCATTAATTTCAACTCTAATCTTTATTATTTTCTTCCTTTTGCTTACTTTGGAGTTAGTTTGCTCCTTTTTTAGTTTCTTAGGATGAAAGTTTAGATTATTGATTTGAGACATTTTATAGCTAAAAATGTCCCTCTAGGCCAGCGGTTCTCAACCTGTGGGTCGCGACCCCTTTGGGGGTCGAACAACCTTTCACAGGGGTCGCCTAAGACCATCAGGGAACACATATATACTTACATATTGTTTTTGTGATTAATCACTATGCTTTAATTATGTTCAATTTGTAACAATGAAAATACATCCTGCATATCAGATATTTACATTATGATTCATAACAGTAGCAAAATTACAGTTATGAAGTAGCAACAAAAATAATTTTATGGTTGTGGGTCACCACAACATGAGGAACTGTATTAAAGGGTCGCGGCATTAGGAAGGTTGAGGACCACTGCTCTAGGCACTCTTTGTGTGTATCCCATACATTTTTTTTTTTTTAACATATTTTATTGTTTTTTTACAGAGAGGAAGGGAGAGGGATAGAGAGTTAGAAACATCGATCAGCTGCCTCCTGCACACCCCCCACTGGGGATGTGCCCGCAACCACGGTACATGCCCTTGACTGGAATCGAACCCGGGATGCTTCAGTCCGCAGGCCAACACTCTATCCACTGAGCCAAACCGGTCAGGGCTATCCCATACATTTTTTATGCTGTGTTTTCATTTTCATTCATCTCAAAATATTTTCTAATTTCCTTGTGATTTCTTCTTTGACCCATTGGTTATTTAGTAGTGTGTGTTAATTTGCATATGCTTGTTAATTTCCCTCATTTTGTTCTGTTATTGATTTCTAATTTTATTGCATTTTAGCCAGAAATACAGTTGTATGATTTTAATCCTTTTACATTTATTGAGACTTGTTTTATTGCCCAACAAATGCTCTATCCTGGGAAGTGTTCCATGTGTACTTGAGAAAAATGTGCATTCTGCTGTTGTTACATGGAATGTTCCATAGATAGTTGTTAGGTCTTATTATGTATGGTCTTGTTTAAATCTTCTATTTCCTGTTCTTCTGTTTAGTTGTCATAGCCATTATTGAAAGTAGTACATTGAAGTCTCCAACTATTATTTTGAATGGCCTATTTCAATTACTGTTAATATAGGATTTTTTTGCCATTTTGTCATATGTAGTCTCTATATCTTACGTCTTTTTTGATTCTGTATTTCTCCATTCCTGATGTATTTTCTGTTAAAATGTTTTCTGATGAACCATTTTAATTTTCTCCTTGTTTCTTTTTTAAAAAATGTTTTTATTAATTTGAGAGAGAAAGGAAGGGAGAGGGAGAGAGATAGAAACATCATTGATACAGAAACATCCAATCGGCTGTCTCCTGCATCCACCCTACTGGGGATCGAGCCCACAACCTAGACATGTGCCCTGACCAGGTATCGAACTGGCAACCTCTTGGTATGTGGGTTGATGCTTAATCCACTGAGCCATGCCAGCTGGGCATGCAATTATCTTTTAAATAAGATAGGAGAAAAAATTTACAAACAAAAAATACACTTATACTATCCTTTATATTTACTTATATAATTACTTTTCCAGGTAAATATATGGTCTTTATTTCTTCATGTGAATTTGATATACTGCCTAGTGTTCTTTCTTTTCAGGCTGAAGCATCCCCTTTAATGTTTTATGATAGGGCAGGTCTACCAATGGTGAACTCTTTCAGTGTTTGCTTGTGTGAGAACTAGAGGCCTGGTGCATGAAATTTGTGCACGAGTAGGGTCCCTAGGCCTGGCCAGCGATCAGGGCTGATCGGGGCCTTCTGGCTGCTAGCCAGGGTCTTCCTTCCCCAGCTGCCTGCTGCGAGCCAGGGTTTTTTTTTCCACTCTGCGCCATCCCCTGGTGGTTAGTGCACGTCATAGTGAGTGATCAGTCTCCTGGTCGAACTCCTGTGGGGACACTTTGCATAATAACCTGTTATATATATAGACTAGAGGCCTGGTGCACGGATTCATGCACTGGTGGGGTCCCTCGGCCTGGCCTGTGCCCTCTCACAATCTGGGACCCCTCGGGGGATGTCAGAGAACCAGTTTTGGCCTGATCCCCGCAGGCCAGGCTGAGGGACCCCGGGCCTCTAATATGCAAATAAGATTTTTGGTTAGTCTCTTTCCACCTTTCTCCCTCCCCCCTTCCCTCTGAGATTCATTAGTCTGTTCCATGTTTCCATGCCAGTATATTGAGTGTATGCACCCTGGTGGTCATTGCACGTCATAGCTACCAACTGGTTGGCTGGTCAGCCGGTCGCTTAGGCTTTTATATATATATACTAGAGGCCCGGTGCACAAAAATTTGTGCACTCAGGGAGGTCCCTCAGCATGGCCTGTGCCCTCTCGCAGTCTGGGACCCATCGGAGGATGTCCAACTGCTGGCTTAGGCCCGCTCCCTGGGGGGTTTGGGCCCAAGCTGGCAGTCAGACATCCCTCTGGCAGCCTGGCAGCCCTCAGGGGATGTCCACTTACCAGTAGGGAGCAGACCTAAGCTGCAATCAGACATCCTTAGTGCTGCTGAGGAAGCGGGAGAGGCTCCCGCCACCACTGCTTTGCTGGCAGCCATCAGCCTGGCTTGTGGCTGAGCAGAGCTCCCCCTGTGGGAGCTCACTGACCACCAGGGGGCATCTCCTGCATTGAGCGTCTGCCCCCTGGTGGTCAGTGTGTGTCATAGTGACCAGTCATTCCCAATGGTTCTGCTGTTAGGGTCAATTTGCATATTACCCTTTTATTATATAGGAGGATAGAGGCCTGGTGCACGGGAGGGGGCCGGCTGGTTTGCCCTGAAAGGTGTCCTAGATCAGGGTGGGGGTCCCGCTGGGGTGCCTGGCCAGCCTGGGTGAGGGGCTGGTGGGTGTTTGCAGGCTGGTCACACCCCCTTCGGGTTAGGGGTCCCACTGGGGTGCCTGGCCAGCCTGGGTGAGGGGCTGATGGCTGTTTTCAGGCTTGCCACACCCCCTTTAGGGTGGGGGGATCCTCACTGGGGTGCCTGGCCAGCCTGGGTGAGGGGCTGAGGGTTGCTTTTAGGCTGGCCAAGTCCCCCCAGCAATGGAAGCTCCCAGCCTCTCCTTTTTTTGTTTTTTGTTTTTTTATTCTGGGATTTATTTACCTTCTATAATTGAAACTTTGTTGCCTTTTGTGGAGGCTACAGCCGGCCGCGGGAAGCTTGGCTTCCTCCATCACTGGAGCAACCAAGCCTCCTGCTTGCTCCAGCTCCATGGCTGCTGGCCACCATCTTGGTTGGGTTAATTTGCATATAGTCGCTCTGATTGGCTGGTGGGCATGGCTTAAGGTGTAGTGAAGGTATGGTCAATTTGCATGTTTTTCTTTTATTAGTGTGGATAGATAGATGTCTAATTTTTTCTTCATTTTTGAAGAATAATTTGGCTGGATATAGACTTCTTAGTTGTTAGTCTTTTTCTTTCAGCACTATGAATATGTTAACCCTGCTTAACCTTAGGTCCAGCTTATACAGAAACTCAAGGTCAGTCAGAGGTGAAAGCTTAGGGATCTGTTCAGGTTTTTCCTGAGCATGAGCATAGCCCTAGGCATTAACATGACCTTCTGGATTCTCAGGACATGTCTGAGCTTTTTAAACCCCTTTATATATCTCATTCCCTAGCTTCCCTTATTAAGCTTTTTGATTAGCCTATTGTTTGCCTTAACTGTTGTATACTGCCTCAGTTGGCCGTAAAATTTATTATCTCTAATTTTTTTCCTGTTTTCTCACTTTTTAATTTCTTTGTTTTTGAAATTAAATCTTTATTGTTGAAAGTATTACATTATGTCCTCTTGTTCCCCACTGACCCCTGCTAATCCTCCTCCACCCCCTCATCCCTCACTCCAGGCCTTCACCACCCTGTTGTACGTGTGTGTGTCCATGGGTTATGCATATATTCATACAAGTTCTTTGATTGATCTCTTCCCACCTACCTACCCACCTCCTCCTTCCCTCTGAGATTCTACAGTCTGTTCCATGCTTCTATGTCTCTTTAAAAAATTTTTATTTAGTAATTTTTAGAGAGAGAGAAAGGGAGAGAGATATTTGTTGTTCCAAACATTGGTTCATTTGTTGGTTGACTCCTGTATGTGCCCTGACCTTCAATCTTTGGTGTCTCAGGAGGATGCTCTAATCAACTGAGCTACCTGGCCAGGGCACCTCTAATTGTTTTGGACAAATGTTTCTGATAGTGGGAAATGGGTTCATGCAGTATTTTTTTGCATTGGGAGCTCAGAATCGGGTCAGAAAAATGCAGTGGCTGCTAGGCTGCTGATTGCATTCTGACTGCGTAGTATTATTGTTGGGGGGGTGGGAATAAGGCAGTTAAAACACCACGGATCTCACTGTTGTTTTTCTTGACTGCATGCTCCCAAGATTGCTACAAGACTTTGGTTAATTTCCAGAGCTGAACAAAGTTGATTCTGACATTTTTTGCCTTTTTTCTGGTGCTCTGATGGAGGAGAGAATTTTT